AAAAGGAGGAATAAAAAAAACAAATAAAAAAAAAAAAAAAAAAAAAAAAAAAAAAAAAAAAAAAAAAAAAAGTTAAAAATGTAACAAATACCTGATTTCCAGGGGGGAAAAAAAAAAATTACCTTTAAACTTGCTACTTGCAACAGTTGTTGAAAATTGCATGAAAATTAAAAGCACTACTGACTAAACTCACAAGCAATTTTTCTTCCTGTTACTGGATACCCCATAACAGAAGTGGTTAGAACACACAGAGGGTTCATACTACAGGAGAAGACACAGGTCCTGGACATTATTCAAACAGGTGACTTTTGTTCATGAAAAACAAAACACTGCCAGTTCAGCAGACATTATCTCATCACTGGTGTTATTACAGCCCAGTTAGTGAAATGATCCAGCGGAGGGGAAAGACACCCCTTGTTGGCATGCTTTACAGGGAAAGGAATGACAACAGGTATCAGAGGCTGCCCAATCAACCCCTGTCTGCCAGTTCTCCTCCAAGAAGTGAGACATTTCCCAGATGTGCTCTCACTGCTCTTCAGTAACATAAAGCAACTACCACACTCTTCCAGGATGCCCAAGAGCAAATGTTCTCCCCACAAGACTATTTAAGTTGACACAAGAGGCAGCAGGTGAGTCAGGCAGACTGTCAAGCCCTACCACAAGGTTCAGAAACGAAGATTAATCATTGCCAAGAAGATAGTTGAGCGTGCAGCCCTTCCACTTCACTGAGGCCTCTGTGCCTATGCACCAGTCTCTGCTTTGGTCTGGAAGGAGGACTGCAAGACGTAGGGACTGACCACAACCCAGTGCAGGCATCCAAGAGAAGACAACTTGACACCAGAGGTGAAACAGGCATGGGTGGTGTTAACCTCTCACAGTTCCTGGTAAACATCAACTTCTGTGAACAGCAGCACCTGCTCAGTGTGTGAGCTGGTGCAGAAAAGAGGACAAAAGAAATAGATGGCAAAAAGAACAAGAGGGCAAAAGAAATAGATGAGAACTGAAAATCAGCCTTGAGGAATGGAAGAGGAAAGGCCAGAGGGAAATGAGCACCAATAGCATGATGTCATGGAGGGCATCCTAGAGCTAGGTACCTCTTTGCCTGAAGGAGCCTGGCAGGAGCTAGCAACAGGTAAAAGATTTTAAAGAGACAGTGATCAAAGAAGAGAACTGTCAACACTGGGAAACAGAGAAATACTTCAAAGAGGAGAGACAAAATATGCATGTTTCTGATGAAGGTAACAATAATGAAAGAGAAGAAACTGAATTAGCAGTGGGAGCAGTATGTGTGTTACTTGGACTTCCTCTAAAGCCTTTCAGAAAACTTTGAGAGAGCTGCAAAGCAGGTGGATTAATGGAGGAAGCTGCAATTTAGTAGGCAGGACAGGGGATTAAGGGTGAGAGAGAGAACTGAATAAAGACCTGACAAGGAGGAGGGAGCTGCCAGGCTTACAAAGATACAGCAAGCATTCTCATTCACTGCCCTAATGAATGTGCCACCCTTTCAAAAACTCAAATTGTACCTGTTAAACAGAATGGAATACTGCTCCAAGAGCTGCAGGTTTCTATGTTTTATTCATGTAGAAAGTAGTTCTTATTTCTTTTTTTTTTTTTTTTTCAAAAATAAATGAGAAAGTATTTACATATTTCAACCAAAGGGGGAAAAAAACCAAACCAATTCTGAGACCATGTCACTATTTGTAAGAAAAAAAAAACAATCAACCAGAAAGGTATGTCCTATTTCTAAGAGTGCTGAGATGAAAGCATGTTGTTTTTGTTTTTATGTATTGTATGTTATCAGTAATTAAAAACAAATCAAGAGGAAATACTAGATGGGAGGGTATATCTTGACACTTGCAAATTATTCTTAGTCCTCACTCAGTTGTGGTGTCTTTTCAGTCTGGATTTTTCTCAGTTTTTCTCAGAAAACCATATTTTTAAAAGCTCCTCAGATAAAACGTGTGAAACACTCCTCCCTCGTTACACAATGACAGCTACTTTGCCAAATTAAAAGTCCATAATATGGTCTGGTGATACTCAAGAAGACCTACACACAAAGTTGACGGATGGCTCAAGTCTCAGTTTTTGTTTCATGTACAAAGGCCAGCCACACCTTTTGGGCATACAAGCTGTCAATGAACTTGTTCTGGAGGCATTTCTAGCAGAAATGCTAATTTTACACAGCTCTAGACAGACCTTGTCTGGAACACTCTGTACAGTTTTCATCAGACACTTTCAGAAACATAAAGACCAAATTCCACAAGTACAGAGCAGTTAAATAAATGGTACGTCTGTTTTGCAAGAGGGCACCTGAAGGCCTTCATCTGTTTAACTTATCTAAATAGGAGTAACGGGTACCAAAAAGTTACCTAGCAGTAGGTAGGGCTTGATTATTATGGAAGAAGAGATATGACTGTCCATGAAAATCAGAACGGTCTTGATGGCCTAGAATATCATATTCATTCTTGCATTGCTGTATTTTCAAGGAGAGTTCAAGACCCTCCAGGGTCTTGAAATCAACACAGTGCTCCTGAAACATTTTGGATCGGACAAGTAGACACATTCCAGTGAAATGAAATTCCATTAATCTTTCTTCAAAAACTATCCAAATGAGCTGCAGTCCTCACGCTGTCTGTATTATAATTTGTGAATTGTAGTCCTGACAGACAGCTGTGTGCAACAATTATCTCCAGTTCTTGGAAAAAATCAATCAAGGACATCTGACTGTAGTTTCTAAGAGGCTGCTATTGCACTTAATCAGATACTACACTAGACAGGTACAGTCTTCTCAGCCACCAAAGACTTCAGAGTGGAAATCTGACTATTTAATTCTCAGTGTTTCCAAAAGCCTCAGTTCAGAACACAGCCCTTCTTTTAAAAGGACTAATAAGGACGCAAGATCTAAACATACCACTACAATTCATACCAGTATGTACTTCATCTGGCTTTAAAAGAAAACAACCTGCACCTCCTGATAAAGTCCCTATGAACTGTAACTCCTAGTACACTGGCATCTTCTCAGATTCAACCATGACCTTTACAACTGAAGTAATAAAACTTCACTACTTTTTCAATAATACACAGGGGAAGACAGGAGGTCTGTCAGGATGAACCCAAGCATGGTTCCACTTCAGAGGGAGCGTCAAGTAACAGGTTAAATAACAAATATAGGAAGGAGTTAGCCGCCATGGAGAAAACTGAGATGGCATGCCCAATCTTCAACTGTGTTTGTTTTACAATGAAAATGAAGAATTTAGCTAGAAATGGACACAGAACATCAGCTCAGAAAAGACAGTCTAGAAAACTGCAGCCAGAATGACCTACACTTAATTACGTTGTGGGTGCATACTAAAGTTGTGCGATGATTTCTGTCATGAACAGATCAATCAGCCATTCTCCACTGCACTGTTTTGGCCTGGATTTTTTTGGTCGTCTTTTTTTGATTTTTCTGGCTTCTCTCCCCCCACACTTTTTATTGTCAAAAACCTGTATTTTCAGAGCTACAACAAGGGTAACAGTATTCTTTGTGTGCTTCCACAGAGGGCTCTAGGCTGGTTACATGAGCTTGTAATAGATATTGCTCAGATTTAGCCATTCTGTACACGTACAGGAATATGCCTTTTAACGAGCATTTGGAGGATGTCAATGGACATCATACACATGAAGTGCAACATGTTGGAGATTACATTGTCTTACTTGAATTGATTGAATATGCTTTATTTATTTAATAATATTGACAGCACTCTGGCTACTAATACTCCTCTGCTGGGAGTGCTCTTAACATTCCACATTAATGAGGTACTTCAGTGCCCTTTTATAAAATACATCAACCTATCTTAGGAAGGTTTCCTTCTTTTCCTCAATTGTGCAATTTGCCTCTGAAATTACAGCTCAGGCTGCAAATAGGCAATAGTCACTCCTGCACCTGTGACAGCATCCCTCCAGGCCAGAACATGAGAATTTAAGATTGTTTGAACAGGAAGTATCCTCCTCCCAGTGGGATGAGCAGCACAAGCTTAAAACAGTTCCAAAATACTGGTTTAAACATGCCCAGAGAAGCCACTTCTAGGTCACTTTGCAAGTTCTTATTGGATTGATGGAAATTAAGAAGTTTGCCCTTTTTGCTGGAGATAAAAAAACCAAATCAGTGTCTCAGTGAACAGTTAAAAACCCTCTTAAACATGTCTGGAATAGTTTCTCTGTAATATCATGGGGTGTGCAGAGCAGATTCATTTCCCATCTGTTTTATGAATTTGTTTGCATTATTTGTTTCTATTAGCAACTACAACTTACTAGAAACCACACAAGGATACAGACAGACACAGTTCT